TGGGTTCAGGCAATTCTCCTGCCTCAGCCTCCTGAGTAGCTGGGATTACAGGCACGCACCAGCATGCCCAGCTAATTTTTTGTAGTTTTAGTAGAGACGGGGTTTCACCACGTTGACCAGGATGGTCTCGATCTCTTGACCTCGTGATCCACCCGCCTTGGCCTCCCAAAGTGCTGGGATTACAGGCTTGAGCCACCGCGCCCGGCCTCCTGTCCTCTTTCATAGGCTAAAGGGAAGGCCTTAGATCCCAGCTCCCCCAAATGCTGAAGGGAGGCCAGTGGGTGACTCCCTGGAGCTGGGCAGGGAGGGGATCCAGGGAATGGTTACCTGCGTTTCCGCCTTCTCTTCCTCCTCCCAGCTTCTAAGTTGCCTGTGTCAACTGGGGCTATGACTTTCTTCGGAATTTTTGTGGCTATAATGGGTGAGGGAACCCCATTTTTGAAGGCCTTATAGTCAGCTTTTAAGAGAGGGTGCTGTGAAGAGCTAGAGGGGATGGTAGCTTCCTCTTTCACACACTTGTCACATGCCTTTTCCTCAACACAGTGTTCCTCTGATTCGGTGGTCCTACAGGTACTCGGCTCCATCCTCTCAGATTCTGAGGGGGGTGGGGAATGAAGTGTATATCAGACCTCCCTCAGGCCCCGGCTCGTCATTCCACCGGAAGGACCTTCCTGCTGTTACAAGGGAATGTTGCTGTCCCTTCAGGACAAAACAGTCTCACTGTGGAATGGGATGTATCTGGGTAGGTGAGGTGTGTGGGGGTGGAAGATGCCAGTGATGTGGATTCCCTGATGATAAGCCCCAATCATCCAGGATCACACTGGGTCATACAACGCACAGGGGTGCTTTCAGGAGCTGGACACAGATGGTACGGGCCGTGAACATAGCTCTTTTGTTCCCGATTGGGAAGGAGGATGGCTGGGAGCGCTGGGGGCACCATCCCTTTAAAATACAGCTGAAGGCGGAGTGCGGTAGCTCACGCCTATAATCTCAGCACGTTGGGAGTCTGAGAAGGGTGAATCACTTGAAGTCAGGAGTTCAAGACCAGCCTGACAAACATGGTGAAACCCCATCTCTACTGAAAATACAAAAATTAGCCGGGCGTGGTAGTAATGCTGCCTGTAGTCCCAGCTACTCTATTCGGGAGGCTGAGGCAGGAGAATCACTTGAACCTGGGAGATGGAGGTTGCAACGAGCCCAGAGCACACCACTGCACTCCAGCCTGGGTGACAGAGGGAGACTCTGTCTCCACAAATAAATAAAATAAAATACAGATGAAGACCAAAGGCCTCCTAGGCTGGCCAGGATTCTTTTTCCGCACGTGTACACACGGGCCAGGCACCGATGGCTTAGACCCTTTGGGCTGTGACGGCGGAGACTGCCCACCCGTGGTTCGGAGGAGAGCGGAGGGGCTGCTGGGTCCTCCCCTAGCTGCCTGGGGCTGGACTCAGCTGACCGCTCATGTCCCCTCTTCTCCCGGGTCCAGTTCTCCCTGGGCGTTTCTGGTCGTCCGAAACCGCCTCCTCGTTTCACAGGACTGGCTGTCCCCACGATCGTGAGGGGGAACCCGCTCCCCCGCAGGGGTTCAGTCCTAGCTCCGAGATCCAGGCGGCCTTGGCGGCGGCAGGGGCAGTACCTACTTAAGCCGGTGCCACCGCCGCCGTTGCCATGGACACGAGGGCGGCCCTCATTGGAGAAGCGTTCTGGGGGCGGGGCCTTCCCGCAGACGTACCTACTTAGAAGGAGCCAATAGCGTTTGTCCTTTGGGGCTGGCCGGCCTCTAGGCCAGATTCCTCCGGTACATCAAGGGGCTTGCAAGCCTCCCGCTTCTAAGGCAGTTCTCGCTGCACTCCCATCTTTTCCTAAACCCCGGGCCAAGGAATTTTGTCAAGCATATGTTCAGGACAAATAACTGTTTGTCTTTCCTCAATTCTTTTTTTTTTTTTTCTGAGAAATGGGCTGTCTGATTCACAGACTTCTTGATCTTTCCTCAGCATATGACACTATCATATGAGACTCTCCTGGCTAGGTGTGGTAGCCTACATCTGTAATCCCAGCACCTTGGGAAGCTGAGGCAGGATGATCACTGGAGGCCAGGGGTTTGAGCGCAGGCTGGGATACGGCGAGACTCCATCTCTTTAAAAAAAAAAAAAAAAGGAAAAAAGGAAAAAAGAAAGAAATGTTCCTCCCTCCTCCTGGAAATGTTCTGGAGTCACTTGACTTTCAGGACCCTCACTGTATCAACAATTTAGTGTTCTAGGGACTGTTCTAGGACCTGGACTACCATTTCTTTATTTTAATATTTATTTTTTTTATGGGAGTTTCCTTCTTGTTGCCCAAGATGGAGTGCAATGGCACGTCTCGGCTCACCACAACCTCTGCCTCGCAGGTTCAAGTAATTCTCCTGCCTCAGCCTCCAGAGTAGCTGGGATTATAGGCATGCGCCATCACACCGGCTAATTTTGTACTTTTAGTAGAGACAGGGTTTCTCCATGTTGGTCAGGCTGGTCTTGAGCTCCCAACCCCAGGTGATCCGCCCACCTCTGCCTTCCAAAGCGCTGGGATTACAGGCGTGAACCACTGCACCTGGCAGACCTGGACTATCATTTCTTGCCTAAATCGCCACCATTCAGCAACCTCTTAATTGGATTCCCTGATTCTATTCTTCACTCTATCCATCCTCCCCATTACAGCATAAGTATTCTTCCTAAAATGCAAAGCTGTTACTCCACATTAAGTATCCGTCAAGGTTTCCCATGAGAGCAAGTCTAAACCCTCTTGGTACATGAGGTCCTGCATGAAGAGTTAAGTGAAGAGGCGGGGAGGCTCTGGGTCAGCACTTCCTACCATCCTGGAGTACAAAGGGCCTCTACATGTTCTGTACTTGGTGGAAAAACCTGCACTACAAATCTTCACAAAGCATATGCATGGCTGAGAAATACCACCAGGAAGAAAAGCCATTTGATTTTCCCCCTTTTTTATGGAGAAACATGTATGGGTCAGGAAAGGCTTTCCTCTAAACATCAGTCCTAGGGAGAAACTCAGAAAATTCTGATACTTGGCTCACCACTTTGGACACAAAATCCACTTTGCTGTAATGGTCATCTGAACTCCCTTCGAGTGAGCACAAAAGCAAGCAAAATTAAGCGCAATACTGGAGCTTGTGCATGCAAAAGCTTGTAAAAAGCACTAAGCAAAAATGACTGCAGTTTGCCAGATATGAGGGTGGTCAGCATTTTCTGACAGAAGGTTAAACTGCTCTTCTTATACAATGGGTTATGGATGCATATTCTGCTTCATCCCAGGGAGACTCTGTAACATCCTTTGGGATGTAAAACCTCTCATGAAAACTTGATACTAAGGCTTTATACAAGCCTGGAAATAGGGAGCCAACTACCTGAAGGCCTAAGCCAGGGTTGGGGCCCACATTTTGGGAGACAGAGAAATCAAAACCCCTGCTGGGAGAGCCCATTCAGCCAGCAGCCAGCACCCACCTCTGTGAGCCCCCTTTCACCCTTATACTGTGAGCAGGGATCTCATTCCTTCAGGATGTTTGAGCAAGGAGTGGTGGTGGTGATCATCTCTGTTGAAAGCTAGACCCAAGTTTTTTTTTTTTTTTTTAAGATAGAGTCTCACTCTGTCGCCCAAGCCGAGTGCAGTGGCGCAATCTGAGCTCACTGCAACCTCTGCCTCCTGGGTTCAAGTGGTTCTCCTGCCTCAGCCTCCCAAGTAGCTGTGACTACAGGCACATGCCACAACGCCTGGCTAATTTTTTGTATTTTTAGTAGAGACAGGGTTTCACTGTGTTAGCCAGGATGGTCTCAATCTCCTGACCTCATGATCTGCCTGTCTTGGCCTTTTATTTTTTTCCTTTGAGACTGAGTCTTGCACTATTGCCCAGGCTGGAGTGCAGTAGTACAATCTTGGCTCACTGCAACCCCTGCCTCCTGGGTTCAAGCGATTCTCATGCCTCAGCCTCTGAGTAGATGGGATTACAAGCACCTGCCACAATGCCCAGCTAATATTTGTATTTTCAGTAGAGATGGGGTTTTACCATGTTGGCAGGCTGGTCTCAAACTCCTGACCTCAAGTGATCCACCTGCCTTGGCCTCCCAAGGTGCTAGGATTACAGGTGTGAGCCACTGCACCCAGCCAACCCAAGACTTTTTTTTACTTCTGCTGTCTAACAGTCAAGGGAGCTCAAAGGAAAATGGGATTTCACACACACACACACACATACTAGAGTGTCTACTGACTGATTCTTCTGGAGCCAGTGTGGAAATTTCTAGAGTAATAGGGCAGAACAAACCAATGAGATAAAAAAATTGCCCACACTGACTCAGATGCAGATGGAGGAATGACTTAGCTCTGGATTTTATGTCTACATCAACAGGAGCTTCTAAAGTGCTTGGGAGCGACCGCAGGAGGGATAGCTGAGGCTCAGGGAGGGCAAACTGTTGAGGACAGCACTACCCTCTATGGGAGCCACTGACTGGAGAGGAAGTCACAAACGCACGTTGTCCCAGCTTAGCTTCTGGTATCTGTGCTGCAGTCCTGACTCCAGCTGTCTGACCTCGAACAAAGTACGAACTGTCAGTCTCTCTTTTTTTAAATGGGGGTATTAAGAGGACTTGGGCCACGTGCAGTGGTTCACGCCTATAATCTCAGCACTTTGGGAGGCCGCAGTGGGAGGCTAGGAGTTCAAGACCAGCCTGGGCAACATGGCAAGACCCTGTCTCTACAAAAAAATAGCCGGGTGTGGTGGTGCATGCCTGTGGTTCCAGCTACTAGGGAGGCTGAGATGGAAATACTGTCTGAGCCCAGGAGGCTGAGGCTGCAGTTAGCTGTGTTCATACCACTGCACTCTAGCCTGGGTGACAGTGACCCTGTGTCAAAAACAAAACAAAACAAAAATACAGCAGCAAGGCATGGTGGCACCCTAGCACTCCGGGAGGCTGAGGTGGGAGGACTGCTTGAGGCCAGGAGTTTGACAGCAATCTGAGCAACATAGCAAGAACCTGTCTCTACAAAAAAATTAAAAATTAGCCAGATATGATGGAGCATGCCTAACGACCCAGCTACCCAGGGGGCTGAGGTGGGATGGGGCTTGAGCCCAAGAGTTCAGGTCTGCAGCGAGCCGACTGCACCACTGCACCCCAGCCTTACAAAGAAAAAAAGAAAGGAAAAACAGGAAGTGCACCGGGAAAGCTGTGAGGACGCTGTTTTTCCATCGGATGATGTCAGTGAAGAGCATTCAACTCGGTGTCGGGGATAGCTGAAATCTCGGGGTGGCCGGGAAAGTGAAGGAGTGGGGCATTTGGATGGAGTTGGGTTAAATGTAAAGAAGGGATGAAGAAATAAAACTGGTGGTGAGCAAAGGGGAATACCAGAGAGGCTGAGAGCAGAATGGCAGCTCAGCACTGCAGGCACATGCACTTTCACCTTGCTAACATTTGATATCAAAGGAAGACAAAGTCCAAACACAAAGTCAGGAATGTGTAACTCTCACACACACTCCTTTTTTAATACCCGTGGGGCATGACCAAGAATGGGGAGAGGTAGCAGATACATCCATGAAGTCTTATTCAGTAGAATTATTCCAGGCTTTCTCCCCTTTAAAGAGACCATTGTCAGCTTTCTTTATCCTTCTTAGTCTGAGATAGGTGAGAAGGCAGCTATGAAAATAAATGTTCAAATGACCATGATGGGCAGTGCTTTGGAAACGGACTTATCAGGTAGAGAATGAACACATTGGCCGGGCGCGGTGGCTCAAGCCTGTAATCCCAGCACTTTGGGAGGCCGAGGCAGGTGGATCACGAGGTCAAGAGATCGAGACCATCCTGGTCAACATGGTGAAACCCTGTCT